TGTGCACACCGTGGAAAATTGGATAATGCCGGCCATGGGACAAGTCTCTCTCAGCGTTCCTCAGGCCTGGTTTTCTCAATTTTCCATCCGCTTCCGGGAGCGAACCCCGATCTCGGACATGCTCCGATGGATCATAGATTTCTGCCGGGTGACTCTTGGTAATGACGGCGTGTAGGTGCGCAACGATTTAACCTCGGGAAGTTAACGCAGGGAAAGGTGGGAATCGAGAGGAGGAAGCTTGCTTAATCTGGTTTCGCGTGGTCGTCGAGTTACGAGCATCCTATTCCAGAGAAATTCGCGGTCACGTGGCGCAACGAGCTCTTTGTTGGTCGAGCTTGTCTGTTTTTCAGATTATGAAACCAAGTTTCTGATACGAGGTTGTGTATTTTGTTGTGCAGCGATGTTTGCGAGTGTTGGGACAGCTGTTACGTGAAGAAAGTATGGTAGGATTTGAATTTGTTTTTCCAACTTGGTATCCTGTTGTGGAAAAGGTAGAATTTGTCAAATGCCTGAGGGGAAATGCTGGAGATAAAAATCGTTTAGAATTGAAAACTACGTAAAAACGAATGAATCGCGGTGGTTGAATATCTGGTGGAGGGTAAAATGTTTTTCTGTGAAAAGAATCTGTTTTTGGGTACGCATCCTGCGTTTTCACGGTATGTACACTTGCTTGCGTGAGTATTTGGGCACTTGGGAGTATATTGTAGTACAAATAATTGATAAAATGTTTACATAATTAAGGGAGTGAATAAATTTTAAGGGAATATACAGGGTGAGTCACCTAACGTTTGCACCTCAAATATCTTTGTTGTTTTTAAAGATACGTCAAATGTCTTAAGGACAATGTTGAATAGTTCAATGGGACTCACACGATGCCAAGATTATTTTTGTTTTTGTGTCATTTTTTTTTAAAGATATCAAGGCCACCTTCATTTCTTTAAACGGGACCACCCTTTTTTAAACACTTACAATGATAGTCCCTTTCGTTGGGAATTCAGTGACTATAATTATTCAAGACGTGAATTTTTTTATAGTACAGTGGATTCCGGTTAATTGGAACCGGACTGATTTGTCCCAAAAAAGCGAATTTCAACCGGCAAAATCTGAAGAACGTAAAAAATGAAGCTAAAAAAGATTTATCGAAAATGTGTGTTTAAGCATGCAAAGAAAGCTAACAATAAGTAAATAAACGCGTATTTACCATATATTCCACTCTTCTGTATCTGTCCGAAATAAACGGCGGTCCGAATTAACCGGAATCCACTGTATTACGACTTAAAAAATGACATTTCTTCGCTAGATACACTAGCAAACATTTTATACTACGAAATTCGAGGCTGAATAATTTTTTTCGATTTCAATAATTTTGTAATAACTGTTTAGATTTAGTTCACATTGGATAAGTGTCCTGATATGTACTTGTGAACGAGAGAGTATATGCGCATTGTCTATGTTTAATAAAAATAACGTGTTTGTTAGACATTTTATAAACGTGCAAAGGCGAGGCTCAGCTAGAGCTGCTATTGTGCTCGTAATTACTACTTATAATTGAACGACTGTTGGGATTGTGAAATAATTGATGACGAGGATAGTAATTGGAAATTAGAGGTTTATTGTTAGAGTCGCGGTTTAATACTGATTGTTATTATTTGATTGTATATTCATTTCTCCTATAATATTCTAAGAAACTTTGTTGCATGTAAAAAGAATTATTACTGTTCCAAATTGCAGAATTACAATTTAGTTTAATTATTCAAATTAACCAAGATAGGTTATTGAAAATTTGAGGTTTATTATTACAGTAGCGGTTTAATACGAATGATCAGAAAAATTTGCGAATTTAAACGAGAAGGAAAAAAGCTTTCACTCTTGTACTATTTTAAAAAATGTTCCATAATGTAAAAGATACTATATTAAAAAGAAACTATTAGTATTCCAAATTCCAGAGTTACATCTTAAATTATTCCGACTGTACACTTGATTAATAGTGAAAACAGAAATTGCAAATTAGAGGTCTATTATTACACTCGCGATTTAATATTAATTTACGAGGACAAATTTACAAATTTAAACGAAAAGGAACAAAAATCCTTTCTCCTATACCATTCCAAGAAATTCTGTTCCAGAATGTAAAAAAAAACTATTCCAGAGTTACATCTTTAATTATTCTATTCGTACACTAGATTAACCCTAGAGCATTCTTCGTTTTGACTGTACACTTGAGACTTTTTGGTGAAAAAGGACCTAAGACCTTACGTGTAATAATTTTTTTGCTTCCAACGCGACATGTGAACCTAGACAATAAACGTTTAAAATAATGTTAAGCAAAATTAACAGCAAAAATGACTAAAAATATAAAAAGGCGGCGGGTCAAAAAAGACCCGAAGACCGCTCTAGGATTAATACTAAAAATAGAAATTGCAAATTAGAGGTTCATCGTTACAATCACAGTTTAATACCAATACTCGAAATAATTCACAAAGGACAAATCTGCAGATTCAAACAAAAAACTCCTACAATCTTGCTCCACACGTCCTCAAAAACCAACCATCGAATTTCATTTAATCCTATTGCGTTCTTCGTTTTGACTTAAGACTTTTGGGTGAAACAGGACCTAAGACTTTGTGTGAAACAATTTTTGTTTCCAACGCGACGTACGAACCTAGACAAGGCTCGGGTAACTTCTTTCCCGCTGTCGCTTCGCGACTACCACTACCACTGTTCCGGTTCCCCCACTATCAACTATTTCATATTGCCTTTACCGTGCTCCTACATATACACTCCTAATCTCCCCTCCTATACTCCACAGGAGTTTGGTGGGGGGGGACCCAGGAGTGGGGAGAGGAGTCGTCTGCACTCGCGAGCCGCCAGTCGCCCATGCATGTCCTAGGCAATGAACGTTTAAAATAATGTTGAGGAACGTAAACTTGATAACAGCAAAAATGACTAAGAGTATAGAAAGACGGTGGGTGTAAAAAGACCCGAAGAATTATCAGAAGAACTATTACCGTTCCAAATTACACAGTTACACTCCAGGAAACAAGCATCCACCTACCGATTTCAAGCTACACAGAAGTATCAGTCCTAAGAACCGCGTTCTTTCTATTGCGACATGCATACTCACGTGTACGCTCTTTTTACTATTTACGATACGACGTTTAAAATAATGTTGAGGAACGTAAACTTGATAACAGCAAAAATGACTAAGAGTATAGAAAGACGGTGGGTGTAAAAAGACCCGAAGAATTATCAGAAGAACTATTACCGTTCCAAATTACACAGTTACACTCCAGGAAACAAGCATCCACCTACCGATTTCAAGCTACACAGAAGTATCAGTCCCAAGAACCGCGTTCTTTCTATTGCGACATGCATACTCACGTGTACGCTCTTTTTACTATTTACGATACGGCGTTAGGCGTTTTCGCCGTGGGCACGGGCGAGGAACAGCGAGAAAGTGGCGTCGAGGAACTGGTGTTTAGCGTCGCTTCCTGCAGCGCTAAGCAACCTAGGGGGACGTAATTAACGTTTATAAACCGACGTGCCCCGGCCGAATGGTACGCGCCGCCGCCTCTGCCCCCGTTCTTTGGTACACGGAAGTTACGAGCCGTTATTTATCGCGGCATTACGCTGAATATCGTCCGCCAGCTGGAAATAACACGGGGCATTTAAGGGATCGTAAAGGACACTCGTTTTCGTCTTTACGTCACTTTTCCCCCAGCGAAATACCACGATTATATTCCCTCGGTTGTTACGCGCACACGCTGCCCCCGCCTCGTAAAAAATCCTCCGCCACCTTTCATCCTTCCGCGATAAACTGATCGCTGCGCTTTTTTCGTTTTCTTCCTGTGTACGAGGAATGTTCAAAGAGTAACCGTTTCTAATTTTAATCTAATTAAGATCTAACTTGAAACAAAAAGTTTCTAATTTTAATCTAACTTAAAAGAAAAAGTTTCTAATTTTATTCGAATTTTAATCTAATTTAAAAGAAGTTTCTAAATTTTTTAGGCTTACACATAAGCAATTTATTCTGATAGTGGCGTAGGTCCATTTTGGAAAAAATCAAGATTACGCAAGAATTGCACGTAAAACATGTTAAATCTTACCACGAAATATGATAGACCTTTAAAAGCATCAAATTATCACCTCTGTACGAAACTTCTATACCCATAACCTCAGCTAAATATAAAGATACGAGTGATTTATTGCCTTACATTCCACCTGTGCACCACAAATTATGTATTTCGAAAACTTTTCTCATGCTGTCAACGAAGATGTTTTAAATTGATAAATTAAAAACCATGAATATTTTTTTTACTTTTAACCTATAATGTTTAACCCTTTGCGATCGGCACATTTCTCTGGTTGGACTACCAGCTAGTCGGAGCAAATTTAGATTTTTAAAGTTATTTTTGCATAGTTGATTTATTATATATATAAGGATATTGAAAAACAGAATATTTTGAAACTGATATATTTTTTTTAATACATACTAGTTATAATGCATAAAAATAAAACGTTTTAATTTTTGTAATTTTCCAAAGTATGATACTTGACAAAACAAAGATCATGCCGCCATAACGGCGACACCGATTTCTAGAACAAAATTGAAATGCCGCCACTATGGCGGCACCGATCGCAAAGGGTTAAAGTTACACATATGCAATTTTGCTTGGCATAACATGAATAAAAGATTTAAATTTAAAAAAATATAATATAGTTTTTTGGGAAAACCTTGAACTCTGAGCAATCAAATATGATTTAAGTCACGTTATTAAAAATTTGATAATTTTGACAGTGGTGTATATAGGTCCATTTGTGTATATTTTCTCTACCTCAAAACTCTGAATATTTGTCAGCACAGAAAACATAGCCAGACTACTAGTGATAGTTAATATTTTTTAGTCGATTAAATATCTCAATATTTAGCAAAATGGACTTACACCGCTATCAAAATAAAGGCCTCGTATGTCACCTTCCAAGTATTCTCCTCTTTTTACCTTTTCACTTCCGATCCTGGTAACCTAAGCGACCGTATTTAATTTAAATCGACGTCGAAGTAGTCACAGTGATCAAAAGAATTTTTCCCTGGAGTTGAATTTATGATTAATATCGCAGGGTTTCTTTTGTTATTTGTCTGTGTTTGTGAATATCGCAGGATAATTATCGGGAATGTTTTTAGCAGAATTCCTCGCGCTAATTGTTCTGTCCTGTGGCAGCGAGGTAAACCAATGGATAGGAGGGCTGATAGAACGAGCGCTGATAAAGCTCGCAGGCCATCTGTTCGATGAAGAGTATAACTGCTACTCTCTCTCCCTATCTCTTTTATCGCGTCGTAAAATTATACGTTCCGTCGTAAAAGGTCATGTTCCTGGATCCCCGTTCTACTAATTTTCCTATACAAAAAAAAAAAATAATGAAGTTAGTGGAACACTTTGGAAAAATAGACTCTAGGATTTTTTTTTAATTTTTGAAGTGATGATCATTGTGAACTGCTGGTTGAAACGACGATTTATCGATCTGAAGCTTCTCGACAAATCAATACGTAGATCAAAACTCTCGAAAAAACAGACCTTACGATTTTAAAAAAATTTCTAAATAATAGAATCATTAGTTGCTAATCTTCGAAAGGACGATTTATCGATCTGAAGCTTCTCGACGATTCAGCCAATCTCTCGAAAAAACAGATAGTACAATTTTTCTTAAATTTTCTAAATAACAGAATCATTACGAATTACTGATTTTCGAAACGACAATTTAACGATCTAAGGCTTCTCTACAAATCAACACGTAGATCAAAACTCTCGAAAAAACAGACCTTACGATTTTAAAAAAATTTCTAAATAACAGAATCATTAGTTGCTGTTTTTTTTTTTTTTTATTTTTATATAGTGTTTTACGTCGCATCAACATCGAGGACATTTAGATTTTGTGGAAGAGGTTGGTTTCGTTAAGGAATTCAATAGTATTTCTTGCATACTTTTTAGACGTAAGAGCAGTATTCGAGTTGATTTTAAATTTGGGGCGTTGGGTAGAAAATTTTTGGCAGTGGTACAAAAGGCGGTGTGCTGTGAGTGGGGCTTCGCAACATAAGGGAGGGTCTGTCTTCTTTATGAGAAATTCATGTGTCATCTTGCAATGACCAGTTCTCAAACGAGAAAAAACGATTCTTTCTTTCCTGTTCATGTGACCGCGTGGGATGATATCTTGAGAAAAATTTGTGATTACGCTATGAATTTTTGTTGGTTTCGATTTTCAGATATTATTCCATTCTTCTTTAATTTCGCTGATTTTTATTAGAATTTATGGTGATAAATTAAAAGATTTTATTTTAATTATGAATCTTCTTTATTTTGATACGTCGCTACGCAATCAATCAAACATCAACGAGACGCTAAGAAAAAAAAAAAAACATATCAGCGTCACCCATACTAAACAGATGGTTACTATGTTATTTCTATGTTTATATTAATCTGTCTCAGTATGTTGATCATTTTTGCTGTTACTATTACACAGACACACACTCATTTCTCCTAATAATCCAACAATTTTCTAAACGACAATTAAAGCTTCTCTACAAATCAACACGTAGATCAAAACTGTCGAAAAAAACAGACCTTACGATTTAAAAAACAATCTTCCAAATAACAGAATCACTGCTCGGTACTAATTCTCGAAGCGACGAATCAACGATCGACAGCTTCCCGCCAACGGCTCTAAATTAACGACAATTCCCGAAGTAACGACAAGTTAATCAACCTTCGTCTTCCGTGAACGAAAACGTCCCGTTTCGGTCCACTTTTTATCCCAGATCCGCGCAATCAGGGAAGAAATTGCCAGCCACACGTGCGCACCTTTTCCTAGGTCTGTGCACCCACCTTTCCATTCGAATGCAAACGAATATCGTTGACCGTGTACTCGGTGACAGCCGCGAACCGACGATTGGATTGCACGGATCGTTGCAACCCGATTCCGATCCGATACTCCCTATCGAGAAATTGAATTTATCCCGACGCGATAATCCCGCCCCGATACCAAGAAATACGAGAATTCTTTTCGGGGGAAAAATTTCATTTCCCCCTCGCTATGCCTCGCAAATTCATACTACCACGGTAACACGCCTGCTGTGGGGGGTAACAGTTATCGAAAAAGGAAACAAGAAAACGAAAAATTCTAACGCTTCGCGGATTTATTTCAACGCGCGGGCGGAAAAGGATAAATTGTCGATAACACGAGGGGGGGAGGGAGGGAAGGAAGAATCACATGGAGATAGGCGATTGTAAATATTTTTGAATATGACACTATCCTGCGATTTTAGGGTGATTTTCATCCTTTTTGGTGTGAACGAAAAAATACGTGTCGAATTTTTTTTTGAGATCTGTTAAGGATACTTAAGTTAGACCAGGTTTACGATACGGACGTGACTTTCTGCAATTTTTGAGATTAACACGTTGAGCGCGGAGCCGATTTCGCTCTGCTTTCCGTTCAGGCGGCACACAGCGGCGATCACTTCACGAGCTGTTCGGTTATAGAGTATAAAGAGAAGATGACAAATGCGCTCGCACGGCATTCAGACGAAGAAATACCAATCCGGATTGGTAGAAGAAGTGTTCATAAATTGCAAACAAAAAAGAAGGAGACGTGCATAAGATTTATTTTTTAAACATGATACTGCCGGTTCCAAAAGTTCACTGTCAGTCACCACTGACTGACGTCGCGCTTAACGTGTTAAGGTTTGAATACGCGTTTAATGTTTTCCTTCGTTAATTATTCCTTATTATCAGGAGGGCTCCAAACCTCTGATAAAAATGGAGAATTTGGAGTTTCTTCGTGCATCTCAATAGCAATTGACGTATGCACATGCGAGCGAGCGAGCGGTACCGTTACCCTGGGTTTGTCCCATAAGCCCAGGTGACGCGTACTGGATGCAAAACACCCTCTCCTTGAGGGTGAGTGGTTGGCGTTGGGCGGTGACCAAGGCCCGAACGTGAGTGGGAGTCTCACCCAAAACTCACCCCCGTCAAGGGACCCAAACGCGACATTTGGAAGCGGAAATGCGCGAGGGCTGAACGGGGCAAAGCGCCAACGAGACAGACAGAACAAATTGAAAGTTAAAAGCAAAAAGTTCAGGCGATCACACAGTCGCTACGTCTTCCATCGATTCTCGACGACGTGTCAGAATTGAACAAGATCTATTAACCCTTTGACTACTGTTGGCGCCTACAGGCGCTTAACCAAGTTGGTCCATTGACACGAAAGGCGCCTATAGGCGCCCGGAAAATTTGACCGATCGTAATTCCGGCAGATCTTATTTCAGTCAGACGTAAGTGAATGCTAATTCAGCAATTACATATTCCGTTAGACATATATTATTTAAATATGTTTATTTATATTTTGCAGTTATTTTTTGTTATTATGTATTTATCCATGTTTCGAATTGTACCACACTTTACTAGATTATTAGATATATTGTGAAAAAAGCTTAATGTTAATGTTACATTTTTAGTATGTACACTAACAATTGAATACAAAGAAATGAATAACATTGCTTTAATGTAGTGGAATTCAGTGTTTTGGTTATTTGAATATACTTTCTCAGAAATGCACGAGTCCGTTGCGACTGATTTCCTACCGTATGGTACGGCTGGTACGTCTCAAAGTCTGCCGTAGTCAAAGGGTTAACTGCTGGATTTCTGGTATTTGGATCGTTGTTACACCCTTCTTAGTCCTTAGTTTTATCCGTATTTACAACGAGTCACCCACGTTCACCTTCCAACTCTCCTGCATAGTCACAACCCAACGTCCATCTTCCCAGCACCCTTAAACAGCCCTATTTTCTCCATGTCCGCGTTCATTCTCTGTTTTACCATGCGCAAATAAAGTTCTGCTTCTACGCAACGACGATCCTTAAGTGTTTTAATTCAGCGACACCCCAATATCTGCTCCTAGTTTCGAGGAATTGGAGCAAACCGGGCATCAGTTCGAAATGTCCGCTCGACTCATGCACCGCGTGGCTGCGCATGATTGCTGCGCTTGGGTGCTGTGTGTTTCCATATCTTTTTTTCGTTTTTTTTGGTCCGTTAATCGTTGATTTGTTCGTGGCGCGTTTCACGGTTTTTTCGTCGTCGACGCGTTTTTCCACGGATTACGATTATTTTTCCTATTAATCCTCTGTAACCTGATTTCTCTTCGTTCGGGAAAAGAAACATTTCGGTTGATTTATATTTTGATTATAAAGATTATAAATTTAAAAAATTGCAGTTATTATGAAAACATTAGCTGGTAATAATGTAACAGTATGTTGTATTCCGCTGCTCGCGATTCCTTGCGTTGATTTACATATTATATTCAATAGGTACGCGGTAGGAGAGCCTGACGGGAACTGGGGCGAAATAAGGGAGCTATTCTGCGCGTAGTACTATTCGACTTTATTAGACAGTTCGGTGACGTTCAGTGCGTGAAGACCACTAGACAAAAATCTGCTGTTTCGACGGAAAAGGTTTCTAGATATAGGTTCGGTAAGTACGAGAGTAGGGGTTGGTCTCAGAGGTCAATGTAGGGAGAGGCGGTGAGGTCTAGGTTCAGCGATGAGTAAAGGATGATGTGGAGGTCTAGGTTTCGGGGGTGACTAACGTTAGGATGATGCGGATTTGTTTACAGTTAAGGAAAGGAGGCAGGATGACTAAAAACTAATGAAAGATAGAAGAGAGGTATACGACACTGCTGAAATTTTTCGAATTAAAGGGACGGTAAACATGTGGCGATATTTAAATGTACAATTAAGGAACCGAGTGTAATTGTACAGAACAGCTATACTTGAAGGTACCTGACTTAACCCTTTCACTGCGACAGATTTTAATGCGTAACGTGGTTAAATTTTTAACCTCGGCTGCAAAATTTGTTATTTTGGCCGTATCCTGTTGTATTCCGCGGCTCGTGATTCCTTGCGTTGGTTTATTATATTCAATAGGTACGCGGTAGGAGAGCCTGACGGGAACTGGGGCGAAATAAGGATGCTGTTCTGCGCGTAGTACTATTCGACTTTATTAGACAGTTCGGTGACGTTCGG